ACTTGCCTTTGCGTGTGTATGTGACGGGCGCAAATAGTGGGGCAGCACACGCTCACCTTTTCGCAAACATTTGGTGTCATGCCTGACTGATGGTGAATCATAGACTCATGCCTGTGATACAGTCAAAATAGTTCTATGGGCGGTGCTCTTATTACATTTTTCGTTTGAATGTAGAAAAGGCTTTGTCACTTCCGTTGAACAGACCTAGCCCACAATAACCCCTTTAGACTGGTAATGAAATTAAAGGTTTTACGCATGCATTAATATTACAAATACGCCACAACGACCTCAACATATTCCAGTTAGGAACAGGCAAAATAACTGTTGAAAGAAAACCACACAAAAAATGTGACCTTGTCGTCCACACTGTTCGAGCAGCAGATTGTCATTTTAGTCATCACGGAAGTCATACCGAGATCAGGTCATGTCTTGTAGTGTACCGTGAGATATGATTGTTAGTTTGCTGATTTGTTTGTTTGTTAGTGGGTTTGTTTGTTTGTTGGTGGGGTTGTTTGTTTGTTGGTGGGTTTGTTTGTTTGTTGGTGGGTTTGTTTGTTTGTTGGTGGGTTTGTTTGTTTGTTGGTGGGTTTGTAGTGTAACGCTGCAGTTCGGTATAATAAAGCTATAAGGCGGCAGTCTACAGAGTTTTGACCAGACAATCCAGTTCTGAAAACGTTTGTCCAGTGACTCACATCATGAGTATCGAACTACTTAATTGGGATACGATCAACCAAATCAGGAACTCCTACAATCAGATCCCCTAAGTGTTCTTTTACGACAACCCGTGAAGATCCGGGTTAGAATAGGTCTTCAGTAACCCATGCTTGTCGTAAGAGGCGACTAACGGGATCGGATGGTCAGGCTTGCTAACTTGGTTGACACATGTCATCGTATGTCAGTAGCGTATATCGATGCTCATGATGTTGATCATTGGATTGTCTGGTCCAGACTCGATTATTTACAGACCGCCGCCATATAGCTGGAATATTGCTGAGTGCGGCGTAAAATTAAACTCACTCACTGGTTTTAGACAAACACGGGTAGATGATGATCAACTCCAAATAAGATCGACACAGGAATGAATGAGTATTGGGCATTTGTTCACTCGCTTTTTGCCACTGCGTAACGGAGCAATGTTAAAGGCAACCGTACTGTCCAAGTGAATCCAGCATTACCATTAGATTCATTATGACGACTTACATGATTAGTATAGATTGAAATATTCTAACCCCTAATAACCAATTGTGTGTTGAACTGGTGCATCAATATCGTGACAGTGGACACCATGAATAGATGCTCACTTGCACATTTGTAATTTGTACATACATTTTTATCTTGCCTCACACATAAATGTCGTTTTCTGATTGGCTGAGCGCTCTTCTATTATTTTCAATGTACCCCGCTTACAAGCGAGTAACATTTCCTATGTACCCCGCTGGGAATGCCGAACTCATTTGGTACTGCGTTGTAGTAATTCTTTATCTCGAATAACATTGGGATTATGTATAATGTACGGAAATTACCGATATTTTGCGAATGCAAATCAATGAAAGGGAGATAACTCTAAATTTGTTTTTCTTGTCGTCTTGTCGTCTGGTACTCCATACTATGATCCGATACCCGTGCTTCAAACAGTTCAAAATTACCATTGAGGTGTTCGGTAAGATAAATACGTTGTTCACTGGTCCCTCGGGGCCCATCGGTTGATGTACCCTCGATGTTTCCTATGTTCCCCTCGCCCTTCGGGCTCAGGGAACATACACAAACATCGAGGGTACATCAGCCCATGTGACGCCCCCCTCGAGACCAGTGAACAACTTATAATGTTAGTTGCGAAATCACATAGGACCAGAGACCAATTAGTAAGATCATATAGTCTCTGAAAAAACTAATCATGCGACTATTTTGGGCGAGGGCTACCACTATTCTGAAAACGTGTGTCCAGTCTTTTTTTAGTGTTACAAGCGAGTCCGGTAATTCTGCGCCCACATTTACGCTTGAAATCGGCACATTTCTACAAGGGACTGGCTTTGAATCACTAAAGGTAAGTAAATAACAGTAATTGACAGATAAATTGACAGTTTTATATAAATTCGTTTTCTTCAGACTTTTAAACCTTTTTTCTTCATTATTCATAATTGGATTTAATATGAAACACTCTTCCTTACATTGATGAAGTGATTTTTGAAAATAATCTGGCCCTAATACGCTTCCATACTTCGGATCTCCAGCTGGATGTATGCGTATCAGTTGCTGCGCAGAATTACCGGACAGACAGCGATGTCGTGAGAACGCCGGTTAGGTCAACCGTAGGGTACAATGCAACGTTAGAATCTTATAGTCGTCTTATATTTCTAGGTAAATATGATGCATACCAGCATGTTTGGTCACGTAAACTACAAAAAATAAGAGACGTTAGTTGCCGTGTTGCGATCGATGTGCTTAGGTGCGCGGAATTACCAGTCGGCATTGTATGTATAAAATATTGACAGACTCTGTGCAAGTGCCAGTGTAAGAGACCAAATCCGGGCCTGAGGCTTAACGGTCCAACGATTTAATCATTAATCGCTATGTAAAAGTGAGAATATTTCACCTTCAGTTTTCATTTAAGTATCAGGCACTGTGTAGATATTCAAGACACGCTAGTGTTGACACTGTGGATTGAATAACTTATTCCGGCACAAATACCCATGTCAACAAATAAACATGTTTGACTGTTTGAGCTGGCACCAATACTTGCATGCACACGTTCTTAGAACTAAAATACGGGTCATGTGTGTATTAGGCTTAATGAAAGTCTTTTGGTATAAATTTCAAACACTTCAACATAAGAAGAGTATGTTTGAGTGATTAGATTATCACTGTGCGGCTGAACTTATTATCATTATTAGCCCTGCATATTATTATCATATATAACAATAATCAACAACTAATAGTTATAGTGATAATTTTTCACGATACACTCACCTGAGAACAACATTGTTGCATTTCATTGGATGCTAACACGTTCTCTTTAAAATGTCAATATTTCAAGATTACATATTTTAAAGTTTACCAAATCACGCCCTTAGGGAGAGGGAGAGGTCTAAGTGTCTTAGTATAGTTTAATAAGTAAAAAGAAAGAAAATATGTTAACTTCTTTTTTTTTCCCTTTAAAGACATCAAACACGCTCATGATTAACACAACAGTGAAACATAGACACACACGTAAACACACACAAACACATGCATCCACTCACAAACACACATCCACATGCACACACATGGATGCACATACACACAATCATAGACACACACACTAACGGCCGCCTCCGTGGTGTAGTGGTTAGAGCGTCCGCCCGGAGAGCGGAAGGTCGCGGGTTCGATCCCCGACCGCGTCATACCAAAAGACGTTAAAATATAGTACTTGTTGGTCCCTGTCTGGCGCTCGGTATTAATGGGTACAACAAGGACTGGTCGGCTCGGAGTCAGTATACTGTGTCTGAGTGGGGTATTCATGTTTCACTGCGGCATGATATCTCAGTGAGCTAGCACTATAAAACCAGCTTAAGTCTGGGCTAGTACAAGCAGCCGCGCATACATATACACACGCGTGCACGTCGTCACATGAGCGAAATATTCTCAAGCACGACGCTAAACCCAATTTCACATCACCTCACACACACTAACATCACCACCCTGTGGATCAGTTATGTCACCGCCAAACAGCTTATGTAAGACAACAATCAGGTGTGTTTAAGAGATGTCAGAATGTGACTTACTTTCAGATAACGACATTGCTTCAAGCCAAGTTTAGACGTGATCAATAGTCAAGGTTGTGGCTTTGCAATTAGGGCACATTACCTACTAAATTGTCACGAACCGTACAATCAAGTCTGGACCAGAAAATGTGATTTAGTGGATAAACAAAGCGAGTTTGTCAATGAAACTTTGGCGATATTTCTCTATTTCCACAATTGCGAAGATCGATGCGCATGCTGTTGATCACTGGATTGTCTGGTCCAGACTCGATTATTTACAGACGGCCGCCATATAGCTGGAATATTGCTGAGTGCGGCGTTAAACAACAAACGACTCAACCTATCTCCTTTCTGAAAAAGGCTTAAGGAAGTTAGCCTGTTCTGTTTCACCTAGCAATGCTCCAAGGTTTTACTGAATGATAAGTTCGTTACGCTCAGCAAATATGGATAAGCTATATGTGGTTTTCTAGGGACAACTTGTTCTTATTATTTATATAATCCAGGTATTGATGACTTCTTTGATTGGAATTTATTATGATGTTTACTAAATAAGATATTGATTTTCCTAAGGGACTAAATCTTAATTTCCTTTCAGCACAATTACATCACTATCACTAAAGGATGTAAATATCATTCATTAACTGAACGACAACGACACACACAACACACACACACACCCCCAACACACACACCCCTACACACACACACACACCACCTCGATCCCCTCTCCACACACACAAGTAACTAATAAAACATGACTAAAACAGTTTAGTTAGTTTAGTATTGAGTGAATTCATTGAAATCGTGATGTACTGTAAAATACATAGACGTGAACGTGTTTATGTGACAACTCATGACAGTGATTCAAGCAACTGACACATTTTCTCTCCGGAAACTCTCCTTTTGTTAATTGAAAGGTCAAGGTTGACTTAAATGAGCGTACGCGTTCGCTTGAGTTAACTGATGCATGAGTCATAAAAAACGCAATTATTTTAAAAAGTAAAACGATGATGATATTAAATCAGATCCGTTCTAATAAGCACGAGTGAGCAGTACTTAGAAACCCGATGTTATATTCCATCGTAAATGTCGCGATGCGTACAAAGTGAAATGACTTCCACTTTGATTGACAGTTTGACGTCCGTATCACAACATGAATGATATTGACAAGATCTAACGACGAGACACATGTACATATACAAACACACATATTTCACGTAACACTGACCAAAAATAGGCGACACATTCATACGAACTGACCTTTCCTGTCCGAGAGCTGCTGTGACAATATTGTGATCCTCTCGCTCAGTCCTCCAGTGTGTGTATAAATAGATTTTCAGGTGACAGCAGAGTTACGCGAACAGGCCGTGAGAATATGCCTACGAGAGCGCGAACAGTGTGCTTTTGTATAAGGCTGTGGTATTATGCGCCTGTTTCTTGGGGCTTGCTTTTCGTTGAACCGACAGACCATGCACACATCCTGTGATGACACAGCGTCGCGTGGCTTGTAATGACGGCTACTTATAATCATATCCTGGCTCCTGTAAACTGAATTCTGATCATTCGTTCGTGTGTTAGTCAGCACAAACACTGCCTTACTGACATAACTAAATAACATGTTTATAGTTTAATGACAAACGAGTTGTCAACGCCTCGTTGAGCTACATACAATAGCTATTGAATGCATGTTATTTTACGTGATAGTAAATATATTGGACGACAAGCTACCGACCAACGACGTTGACTGCGATGACACACAGTGATACAGCTGCCAAGCTTTCTACCCAATTATAGCTTGTGTGAGTGAGTTTAGTTTTATGCCGCACGCAGCAATATTCAAGCTATATGGCGGCGGTCTGTAAATAATTGAGTCTGGACCAGGCAATCCAGTGATTAACAACAGGAGCATCGATCTTCGCAATTGTGGAATGGAGAGAAATATCGCAAATGTTTCATGGAAACTCGCTTGTTTATCCACTAAATCACATTTTCTGGTCCAGACTTGATTGTACGGTTCGTGACAATTTAGTAGGTAATGTGCCCTAATTGCAAAGACACAACCTTGACTATTGATCACGTCTAAACTTGGCTTGAAGCAATGTCGTTATCTGAAAGTAAGTCACAATCTGACATCTCTTTAACACACCTGATTGTTGTCTTACATTAGCTGTTAGGCGATGACATAACTGATCCCCAGGGTGGTTATGCGTGTGTGTGTGTGTGTGTGTGTGTGAGAGAGAGAGAGAGAGAGAGAGAGAGAGAGATAGACAGTGAGAGAGAGAGAAAGAGAGAGAGAGGAAGAGAGAGATTGTGTGCATGTCAGCGAGCCTGACCACCCGATCCCGTTAGTCGCCTGTCACGACAAGCATGGGTTACTGAAGACCAATTCTAAACCGGATCGTAAGAGGCGACTCACGGCATCGGGTGTCCTGTCTCGCTGACTTGATTGACACATGTCATGATATCTCTTCAGTGTAGATCGATGCTCATGCTGCTGATCACTGGATTGTCTGGACTATTACCGAGTGTGGCGTTAAACAACAGACAAACAATCAAATAACATCACTTATAATAGGTTTCCTGGTGGCAAACATCCATTACATACATCGTAACATCCAAGACTCGGATTAAAAATTATCATTTTCATCACGATATATCTTAAGCAGAAAAATGGGTCATGTGTGCGTTTGTGATATAACGTAGGTATGATCTGACGGGGGAATACATTAAGACATGTTATACATATTGAACCTGATGGAGGGCCAAGCAAGCTGTTTACTTGTTTGTCGAATTGTTTTGTGAATTTAACTCTTTTGTTAATGTACTGTCATGATAAATGTCTAACTATTGAAAGAGTGAAACCTTATGTATAAATATTGTGACTCCGACAATATCGTGGCGTTTCCAGCTTGAATGTTGTTTAATGCCGCACACAGCATATGTTCAGCTAAATGATGGCCGTCTGTAAATAGTCGAGGCTGGGTCACATGAACGTGTGACTGACATGAAGAGCAATGATTATCTACGCAATGGGGACTGTATGTCATGTTTCAGCCAAGTCAGCCCACACGATCAACCAATCCCGTTGGTCGCCTCTCACCACAAAACGTGTCGATGAAGATCAAATCTAACCCGGATCTTCACGGGGGACACACAATTCATTCTTACCAGTGTGCACGTGCCCAGTGTCTGAAGCAACGACATTTCCTTTTATTCTTTTTTTTTTCACAGACGATTTTAAAGGAGAATACGAGTGAATTGCAATAATTTGCTGGGTGAAATATAAAATCATCAGAAACATATTCCCAAATTTTCAATTAAAAATTATGTTATGTTTTAATACGGTCTAACATCCATTTCACAAATGACATCAGGAACACCTTTTACTGCTTCAGAATCCATGGACACTGTTAAGTTGTGAGGTAAAATCAAAGAGGCAGCCATCAGCAACAGGCACATACGACGTCATGTCACGTGATACCCCTCTGCTCATTAACTGTCGGGTGTTTCCGTAAAAGGCGGAAAGTACGTTTTTTTTGTTTTTATTGCTATTTTACAAACTTTTTGTTCAATTTTAATCACGGAAGATGACTTTAAGAAAATCCTTTACAATATATCAAAAGTTTTGTTTTCGTTCGGATTCTCCTTTAAAGAAAAACAGGCAACACTCTTCCGGTATGTATATGACCATGTTGAGTTGAAAGTTATGTTTGGTTGCATTTCATGTAGTAAGACAACACCAGAAATGGGTTTCACACATTGTACCCATGTGGGGAATCGAACCCGGGTCTTCAGCGTGACGAGCGGACGCTTTAACCACAAGGCTACCTCAGCGCCCCTACACATAAGAACGTATATGCTAAAGAACTGGGAGAATTGTTCCGATAAACAATCTTTGAAATTAAGTTAAAAGCATATGACACAACATCGCTTGGTTTTGAATAACGGATACCTATAGAGTTCAATCCGATGATTTGTTCTTTAAAGTCGTACTCAGCTGTACGACGACGGTGTGTAAATAATTGAGTGATTCACAACATGAACATCCGTCTTCGCAAATTGGGATACGACGATGCAAACCGAAACATGAGTCTCATTAGCCTATTCAGACAATGACCTACTTTTCAGCCGATCCGAATTTTCTCGTGTGAAAGTGAAAATAGACATCACAAACAACTATGGTTACACTGAATTCCAATTCCTTGTTTTATAAGAAAATGGTATTTACAAATGAATTTTAATTTAAAACTTTAATAACATCGTATTTCTATATTTTATGGCGAGGTGTAGGCAGCATGACCTTAACTAAGACGTCACAGACTGCCCCTGTTTGATGAGGTCGTAAAATGATTCACAATGCATCTGGCTCACTGGTTACACCTGTTATGTATTGTTTACGCTTATTCAGTGTAGTTCTGTAACGCACAATGTGATTGATATAATATCAATTCCCTACAAGACCGCCAAAATTTTCTAGCGGAAGAGACTCGTTTTGAGATTTCCACGATTTCCGTTTGTCAGAGCACGGTGTACGACAGAGCACGCTGCACGACGTGTTTGTAAGGATTAGAAGGAGCGTAGTGTTGCAATATACAAGTGCTTAGATGTATCAAATAATACTGATTAACATTTATGAATCCATATTAATGAATTGGTCTCAAAATTCTGGAGTGGTTACTGTACTAAGTTGCGCAATATGACGGAACCCAGTCAACAGGAAACGAGACCGTTGTATAATCAGTGGTTTGACTTGGTTAACGAAGTCAGTGAATGCGACGATCACCTGATTCTGTTACGACAAGGATGGGTTGCTAAAGACTAGTTCTAACCCGGATCTTGTAATGTATCCCAAACTGATACATTATTGAGTTGGTATAGCGTTATGGCTCATTCATTGTATAACTGTGATCAGTGTGTGAAATAAGCCCCAAACCCAGCCAGACATCTGGGCTGGTACCTTCAAAAACTTACCAGCCCAGAAGAGATTTAACCAGTCCTTCTTAAATACTAAATAGACAGTGCCAGTGGTCACGTTATCTGATTTTTTTTTTCACCCGTCCATCGGGCTGTGTTACGACGTAAATTGTATGAAAAAAAGGCAAATTAGGCTGGCTAGTTGTAAAATTAGACCGTCCGGCAGAAATCTAGGCCGTCTCGGGCGGTCGGACGGGCCTTATTTCATGCACTGCTGTGATTTAAGTGTATTTTATTGTTTCTGCTGACAGAAAAATCTGACCGAGTCGAACTGGTCCTATATTACAAACATCAAGGACCATTAAGGAAATGTTGATCACTTGTCTGGTTGAGGAAGAAATTTTGGGAGTTCGATTTCCTGATAAGTTATAGTCTCAACTTTAGAATCAACATCTAACAGTACAAACTGCGCAATGCAAGTAAAGAGATAGGTGAATCTCGCGCACTGCGTATATTATATATCCCACGTGACACATGAGTAGAGAGTAATTTCCGGGTGTAAATAGAATGGACTGTCACGAACGTTTCATAACGATAAAGTAGGTCACTTGATCAGACTAACTGAACAGCCAGAATTAAAACAGATTTAACGGTTGAAATTTGAAGTTCAGACAATCGGAGATTCCATTAGTATCCATTCGTTAAATTAAAACGCAAGCACAAAGCTCAATCATGTTTGGAATTATAAAACCACGGCATCTTGAACTTTGGCCTTTCCGTTTACAAAGGACAATTTGTTTACTGTTCACAATTCTATTTATCATCAAGGAAAATCCGCCTGACATGCACTGCACTGCACTTGACTCGGTACTTGAAGGACAATGGGCCAGTTCTTTCTGCCAGTGCGTCTCCTTATTCCGGGTTAAATTTAAAGGAGGCCATTGAGCGGTCTCTGAAGACAGGAAGGAACACGTGACAAATACGTCACATTGAGTTGAATTTGCTTCTACAATTCTGTCAGTTGCATTAATATTTCAGAATATCGGCGACTATAGCATAGCCACAATGCAGTTCTCGTGATGTGAGTGAGTGAATCTAGTTTTTCGCCGCGTTTAGCAATATTCCAGCAATATCACGGCGGGGGACACCAGATATGGGCTTCACACATTGTACCCGTGTGGGAATCGAACCTGGGTCTTCGGCGTGACGAGGGAACGCTTTAAGCACTATGCTACCTCACCGCCCCTAAAAATATATATAAAAGAAATAGATACGAGCGTATTCTATAATAAAAATCGCCACAATTTTCACTTCCTCTGAGCTTAATTTGTATGTAGAGAATTTGAAAACATATATTACTTTAACAAAAAACAACACCCAAAAAACGAACAAACTTGAGTTATAATTGTATTGTATAATGTATAATTGTATAATATGAAAAAATAACTTCAATTTTTATCGATAGTGGCAGATATTCTAAGATTGTGACAGATTTGAACTTTGGAGATTTTTTGTGTTGTGTTTCTGTTGTACCACATTCCATCGATATTGGTAGGATATCATT